TGTCAGCGTCATCTTTGTCGAACTAAGCACAGAAACGGAAAGAGGGATTATTGACTGACTTTGTTTCTTCAAGTGCTGCATGCCGATTTAGGTAAGACTCGAGAATGTTACTGATAGGTTTTGTCTCATTCATGCTCGCGAGATATTGTGTGTAAGTTCATCGTACTTCTCTGTAATCTTTCGTTTCTGAGCCTGAATACTTTGTTTGCAAAATAATTAATTGGCCAAGATTCTTACAAATTTTAAAACAAGCCACAATATCACTGAATGTTTTCGGTTTAAACGGATGAGGCCAAGTAGATTGTTGTTTTCTTTACTCGGATAAGTTGTTCTCATTTTTAAATTAGTAGTACATTTTCTTGCATTTTTCCACTTATAATTTTTTTTCGAGTACCTTAATAATATGCTGTATTTCTACGAACCAGAGCCGCCACCCTTTGACTACCAGAGGTTTGGAGTCTAATTCCGGAGCCGATACACACGGTTTTTAAATTTTGCTGTAGGAAAGCAATTTCCGTTCTCCATAGGCTTCACTTTTTCCGTGATTTATCACAGTGAATGGGATATGTTTGCCACTTAAATAAATCAGCGTTTAAGCCTCAGTCCCTGTAATTTCACGGCAACCCTTTTTTACCGCCCTCACAACGCAATCTGCGGCACTTCAAACGCATATTTGTCTCCCGTCTTGGTCGCCCACGCCGTGCTAGTGGTCACGTGCCCATGGGTCTCGAGCTGTCGCACAAGACAAGCCTCTGGGACAGCCCACAAATTGCTATCATCCAATCAGCAGAGTCACTGATTGTGGAACATTGGTCACGTGACTTTTAGCATGGCAGGGACGCCAGGACCAGATGGCGTATGCGCGATTGAGGCCCTGCAAGTCCACTCTATATAAAAGATAGTATACGGCCTTCTATTTTTTATTTTACACTAGACTATCAGCTACATGAGTCTAAATTGATTGCCAACCAGATTGTGGTTGACATAGGCGTATCATAGGCGATACACCTGTCAGAAAGATTCTGGCTACAACGGCCACTAAGACAACAGTACAGTTTAGGGCAGCACCTACCGTTGTTCCACCGGTCTTCTCCAAATTCTTAAACTTTTCACGCATACTCTTTGTGCTCTC